CATTTTGGGGGTCTATTGATAAGTGCACATATTATATCTTCTTGATGGACTGTTCCTTTTATCTTCATATTATTTTCTTGTTTGCCTCTTGTAACAATTTTTGTCTTAAAATCTACTGTGTCTCATATCAATATTGATAGCTCTTCAACTCTTTTCTTTTGGTTGCTATTTGCATAGAATATTTATCTCCATCATTTTAATTTAAGCCTATTTGGGCCTTTAAGTATAAAATGAAGCCAGGTATAGTTGTACATAACTGTAATCCCAGCACTCCAGAGGTGAAAGCAGGAGGATTGGGATTCTGAGGTCAGCCTGGGCTATATACTAAGACCCTGTCTTAAAAATCCATATATATATACATATATATGTATATATATGCATGTTTTATTTATTCTTCCAATCTTTGCCTTTTAATTGTATAGTTTAATCCATTTATATTTAATGTAATTATTGATAAGGAAAGACTTCTGCCATTTTGTTATTTATTGTTTGTATGTTTTTTATTTTTTCCTCAATTCCTCTATTAATATCTGTGTTCAAGAGATATTTTCTATTATATAATTTAAATTCTTTTATCATTTATTTCACCATATATTTTTCAGTTATTTTCTTAGTGCTTGACTTTCTTTTGTCATGTGGTTTTGAGTTATTGTCTAGTGTGGAGTCCTTTCATTTCAGCCTGAGGGTCTCTCTCTCGCTTTTTTTTTTTTTTTTTAACATTTTTTGTAGTTTAAGTCTCCTACTGACAAACTTTCTCACTTTCTTAGTTTTTTGGTCTCAGTTTTAATAATTTTGCTTAGCATAGAATTCTTGGCTGATTTTTCTTTTCTCTTAACTCTTCTTATTTTCAGCCACTTTGTTCCTGAATGAGAAACCAGTTGCTAATCTTATTGAAGATCCCTTATGCACAATAAGTAGCTTCTGTTTTGCTACTTTTTTTTTTTTTTGTAGTACCAGGGTTCGAAGTCAGGGCCTTGCACTTGCTAGGCCGAGTGTCAATATTTTTTTCTGTCCCACTTTTTTAAGATTTTTACTCTTAAAGGCTAGCCCTACCTTGCAAGCACAAGGCTCTGAGTTCAAACCACAGCACAGAAATAAAAATGCCTTTAGAACTGATAAAATCACTGAAGATTTTTTGACTTTCAGCAGCTTATGTTGCATCTTGGTGTGGATCTCTTTGGCTGTTTACCACTTGGAATTTATAAGCTTCCTAGATGTGTAAACTCATGTATTTAAACAAAGTTGTGAAGTTGTCAACCACAATTTCTTCAAATATTTGTTTTTGCACTTTTTTTTTGTCTTATCTCTCAAGATTCCCATTATATGTATGTTGGTACATTTACATTTATCCCATAGGTCCTTTTTTTTTGCTTTTAGTAGTGTTAAAATTTTTTCTCAAGGTGAGCCATAATCCTAGCTATTGGGAGGGTGAGGTCAGAAGGATCGTGGCTTGAGGCCAACTTGGGCAAATAGTTTGTGAGACCCCCATCTCCAAAATGATAGGAGTAAAATAGACTGGAGGTGTGGTTCAAATGGTAGAGAACCTGCTTTGCAAGCACAAAGCCCAGAGTTCAAACCTCTGCCCCAACCCCCCAAAAATAAATAAAATTTCTCAAAGTATAGTTTTTAGGCTAGAAGCACCAACATTTTCTGGACAATTGTTAGAAATGTAAGGTTTCACCTTGGCATGCTGAAGAAACTGGGTATGAAATCCAGCAATCTGTCTCTTAAGCTTTCTAGGCAATAAGCTTGAGAAGCAATGATTTTTACACTTTTTTGTAGTTCTGGGGTTTGAACTCAGGGTCTCATGCTTCGTACGCTGGCACTCTGCCACCCTTTTTTGTGTTGGGTATTTTTGAGGTAGGATCTTATGATCTATTTGCCTGGGTTGGCCTCAAACCACGATCCTCCTGATCTCTGCCTCCCCAGTTGCTAGGCTTACAGACGTAAACCACTGATGCCCACTGATTTTGACATTTGTGACTTACTGATTTAGTTCACCCATGTATCTTTCAGTTAACTGATTAAGTAATCCCAGTCACACTTTTATTAAATCCCAACATGGTGCTAAGCATTGGGAGTACAATACTATTTCTTGTCTTAATGATAAAATATCTTCTGATAAGAAACCATACAGAGCTGTCCTCACTGGATCACAAACTGTTGCTAGTGTGTGATTACCACATAAATAAGTTACAAGAGTATATATGTAAGAATATAGCTGTGAATAGTTACTGTGGGTGTCCAGAGGAGGAGCACTCAACACAGAAATTTACCTTAAAACTGGAGCAGTATAAGCATCCTTTCCAGTCTGAGGTGGAAAAAGTCTGAGATCCATGATGGTTTGAACAAAAAAGATGACAAAATAGTAGGGTGTGAGAACTGTAGTCTTGAGCAACTTTCTCTATAGAGTGGGAAGAATTTATTACTACTCTGGCCTCTAACTCCAATGCCCTGTGGCTGAGCCAAGTACACTTTTATCTTTATTAACATGGAAGTATTTGTGGAAGCACTTACAAAACAAGTTATATATTATTTGTCATTTAGTGTTAAAGAAGAATCTAAGAACAGATTAACAAATTGTAATGGACAATTTCAAATACAAGCAAAAAGTAACAGAATTGTCTTAAAACCTCTATTTACTTATAACCCAACTTTTGGGCTAGTTGGTTTGAGGACCTAATGAGATCATGTATAAAAAGCCTTTAGAGTAGAAGTTTACTTTCAGCAGGCCTTTAATAATCTCATGCAAAATCTTTCTTGTGGTTTGCTAACCCAGAACAATTCAGGGATATGTGGTTACAATTTATGTAAATTGAAACAATACATAAGTACTACAGTAAACTCTTTTCAGTATTTGTTACTGTTTAACAAACCATCCCCAGCCCATAGTTTACAGCAGCAGCCACAATTTATTCAGTTTATGGATATGCAATCTGGGCAGGGCTCAATGGGCACAGCTCATCTGTACTCCAGATGGCATTGGATAGGGTGTCTTCAAAGTCTGGTCAGAGGCTAGCTGGGGAGGGAAATCATCTGACATCTTGCTCACTACCCTGTCTGGCAGTTGGCTCTGGCCTTCAGCTGAAACAGCTGGCACTCTCCTCTGTGTGGTCTCTCTGGCATGACAGCTTCATGGAAGCTAAACTTCTGCCAGACTTCTTACTGAAGGGTCAGGTATCTAAACAGACAGATTAATGGAGCTTTTATTCTGATTCTTCCAGTTACTAGCTATGTCACTTTAAGCAAGTCATTAATCTTTCTTCTGAATCTCAGAGCTCAAAATTTGTAAGTCAGGGTTTATTTTGGGATTGCCCAGAAGACTTTGAGTGCAAATAATTTATTCGGGAATTAATCCTATTAACGTATCTTCTGATATATCAGAAGGGAGATGGGACTTAACCAAAATATGCTACCACTGTAGGCAACTGGAGCTTAAAACCACGGGAGAAAGGGCTGGGTACATACCTCAGTGGCACAGTGTTTGCCTAACATGCCCTGGGTTCAATCCCCTGCCACTGAAAAAAAAGTTTTCAGTGCTGTTGTATTGGCCACAAAACCACTCGGGTACCTGGGGAGACACTGCAGAATCTGTATCTCAGAGTTATCTCTCCTAAAGGAGGAGGGGTATTTATATATCAACTCCAGTTGTTGACTGGACTCTGAGGGACATTAATTTCTCAGTACTGTTGTTCTGCTGATTTCCACATGGGTGGGAAAAACCCTCAAGCAAAGATGAAGATGCTGGTGGAAGAACATTGAGCAATTTTATGCTAAAAATAGTTAAGACTTAAAAGGATATGAACAGGGCATGCTACAGGGGATAATGACTGTTTTCTTAAGCTTGTTGGGTAATCAAACGATGTGGCATTAAAAAATAAACACTCCTGGTGTGAGGTGTGATACTTTCTCTCTTTGCTTTAGCATGTTCCACACACCATTTAGAAGGGACCCTTAATATAAATGGGTTACCCAGCTCTTTCAATGGACTTCAGGGCTTATTGTAGCAAGTTCAACCTACATCTGTACTAACTTGTCACCGTTTAGGAGTTTAGAACTTCTTCATTGTTCTTCATAACTGACTCTTGCCCTCCTTAGCTGGTTAAATCTTTTAATCGTACCCAAGTTCTCACGCCTTTCAGGTACCACTGTGTTTTCAGGAACTCATGGTCTGGTGATAGTGTCCAAGAATGGCTGAGAGCTTACGTCATTGTGATACTAAGCTGGCAAGTCATTTGACAGTTAACTGCATATCTTTGAAGGTTTCTGCGGAGTGGACTCATCCAATATTTTAGTGTGCAGATTTGGACGATGGAAAAGAAAAAGGTGTGCATGTGCACGTGTGGGTATGTCTTGAAGTTCCTGCAACTATCCCTTTGAGACATGGAGGTGAAAGGTCTGCTTTGGCATGAAGCTCAAGAAATATAAACGAAGGGAAAGAAAGAGACAAAGAGAGGTGTCTCATTATAAAATAAGCAAAGGCTTGGTGTGGAGAGACTTGGGTGCAGGCTGCCACTACAGGTTTTGCAGTTTTCCTGGAGTTCTTCACCAAATATAAGACCAGAGGCACGACATCGCAGGGTTACAGTTGGAGCGGAGGAGCGGGGGCCCACCCCCGCAGCGGGGACAACGGGCTAAGCGCGCCAACCCTTTTTCCCCATCTTTTAGGAAAGGGCGGGGGAGGTGGGAATAATACCATCCTAGCCGTGTGTGGTGATGCTAAGTACCCGCACATGGTGGGCACCCAACTGGAGTCCGTCGCTTCCTCTTGCTCACAGCCCCGGGAAACGCAGGAAAAAACTGACCCGGCAGCCCATTCTGCAACTCCCAGGCAGCAGGTCCACGATCCCGACCGCCGCGCGCTGTTGCCGGGGCTCGGACACCGCCCAGCTCCACTATTGGCTAATGGTGGCGCAGACTGGACACCGCCCAGCTCCAGCGCGAGCCAATGGTGGGGTGGAATGGGCACCGCCCTGATCCCGAGCGGACCAATAGTAACATGGCCCGGCGCAAGAGCCGCCCCCCAGCCGGGCGGGGAAGCGGGAGGGCGGCCACTGGCTCCGCCTCACTCCCCTCTGACCCGGTGTCTAGTCTCTCCGTCTTCCTGTTCCAAACCACGTGGACGCGCTGGGGGACGGCGGGGTTGTGCGTCTAAGGGAGGCAGCCGGGGCCACTATCGCCGCTTGCAGCCTGGGTCGCGATCCCCTTACCCGTCCGAAGTCGCCGCGCCCAGATTGTCCGTGCTTTTGCCGAGGGCGCGCACATGGCGACCCAGGCGCACTCCCTCAGCTACGCGGGATGCAACTTCTTGCGCCAGCGTCTGGTCCTGTCCACCCTGAGCGGGCGTCCAGTCAAAATCCGAAAGATTCGAGCCAGAGATGACAACCCGGGCCTCCGAGGTAACTTGAGGTGGGCGGTATGGGCACGGGGGCCTTGGCCCGGGAGCCGCTGCCCTGGGGTCCCGGGGGGCGTCGGGGTTCCGCGGGCGCTCCTGGAGGGCTGGTGGCGCGTGCCCGGCAGCCGCCCGCGCCCGCGTGGGGTGCGACCCTAGCGTACGCTCAGCTGTGTGCTGCGCCCCGCGTCTCCCCCGCGCTGGAGTAAACAGCTACACGTTTTCCAGCGTTACGTGTTGCAACAAATCCCAGGCATCTCCCTCTCTTTTCCCTTGAGTCCCTCTTGATCTTGCCACAAACCTCCCAATGGAGAAAAACAGTTTGTTGGGGAGAGAGACATTTGGGTAAAAAAGTACCCTTGGTTGGTTCCCAGCCGTGTTCCAAAGCAGGTCCCAGAAAGCAACTGCTTTGGACACCCGGCTTTCCCTGTCGCCATTATTTCTTAGCTCCTCTCCTACCTCTCCTCAGGTTTGGGTTAAAGAATTCTCTTTAAAAATGCAGTGTTTTCATCTGTGACTGTAACTGATGTGCACAGGAGAGAAGCTTTGAGATAGGTTCCAATAGTCATAGGCCTAGTTGTCTTGACTTCAGGTGACAAGCTGTAATCTACAGGCTTCCAAGCTCACTTTTTGCCCCACAAAGATAGGTAGGTGGGATAAAAATAGGCCCCATTTAAATCCACACCGCATTAAATGGCTTTGGTTTTCAACTGGGCCCCTAGAATAAAGGTATGCCTCTAAAAGCTTCTGATTTTTTTCCTAATTGGGTGAGTCATTTTTTTAAAAAAAGGGAAATCCTGTCTGTAAATTGAAGGAGAGGGTTTGTCGTTAGTCCTGGAAGCTTCCTGAGTCGTGTTGTGTTTCTCTTTGCATTGGCTCCAGTATTAAGTGGCCAGTCCATTTCATTATCTGTCTGAATACATATATTTGAATAGTTACATTTCTGCTTCTCTTGAAGGGTGGTTGGTTGCAGATGGTGGTGGTGGGGAATGTCATGTCATTGATGGAGATGGAAGATTAGGAAGGAAAGAACCAGAAAACCTAATGTACTGTGCTGAGAAATGTGACTGTAGGAAAAGCTTGCCTACATGGCCTCTGTCACCTGTCTTTTGATTGAAAATACTGAGGAAAGCTGACTGTAGTGGTGCAGGCCTGTAATCCCAGCACTCTGGAGGTTGAGGCAGGAGCATCCCAAGTAGGAGATCAGCCTGGGCTACACAATGAGACACTATCTCAAAAAACAAAACAAAGCAAAACAAAAACAACCCAACCAGCCAACAACCAACCAACCAAAAACCCTGAGGAAGTTAAGGAGAGACCACTGAGTGGTTTATGCTAGGGCTCTTTCCCTAGGTATGTTCCCCTTATTTTAATTTGACTCTTGGGAAAAGTGATGGTGATTGTTCTACTCTGGTATTTTTCAACTCCAGATGAGCCTTGGAGACCTTGCTCATAGCTGCCTATGATAAGAAGGGCTTCTACTTTCTATGAACACTGGGCTTTTTTTTTTGAAGAAGAATGCAGGTACTTTGGAGTTTGTCTTGACAGGTGGCCTCCAATATAACATTTAATGTCTCAAAGGGTGCTTCTCTCTCCCCTCCAGGTTTGTGAACATTGCTTTAATGCCACACACATAGGAGCTCCCATTTCTTTCAAAATAGGACTTGATCACTTGGCATTTTCTTGAAAGGGTGCCGGACTCTGGTATCTGGGAGAAGTAGTACTAGAACTGATATTTTATGGGGAGCACCACAGTAGAGCTTTCTTTGCCTTACCTCATTAACATACCAGGGAAAAAAGAACCCTCCAGTTTAGGCTTTATGTTGACTTTAGGGTTCAGAAACCTTGTAGATATGTATTTGTCTGCTTAATTTCTTATAGAGGGAACTGAGACACATTCATGCATTTGTAGATTTACATGCATATGGGATATGAGTGTACATATACCTGTGTATGCATGTAAACATGTATACATATACATAAACGCTTGTAGCGCCTGGCACGGGATTTTTGGTCATTAGTTAAGTGAGTCTTTGGTAGCTTGAAGATGTAGCCAGCAGGCTGTGTTGTCAGTCATGTAGCTCTTTCTGCCTCTTCCTGACTCAGATTATGAGAGTTGGAAACAAAACAAAACACAGAATATCCAGTAAAATCTGCAGATCAGATGCAAGGATCACATCTCCCAAAGGTGCTTGCTTAAACATTCCTCATAGAGTGGGCTTTGAAGGTTGGGCATGGTATAGGAGGCTTTCTGCCTCATTCAGAAAAAGTTTATTGAGCCTCTTATATGCAAGACTTTCTAGGGGGTGCACATGTGAGAAGTTGGTTGCTTTGGCTCTCAAGGAGCTTGCTGTCTAAACAGAAAGAGTTCTATCGTGTTGAAGTAGAAAGAACTAACTGTGGCAGTAGGGTTCCGTGGAGTTCAGAGCAGAGACTTCCCTGGGAGTTACAAAGGAAGAAAGGCTTTCTGGCAAATAGGAAGGAGATTACCTTCCTCTGCCCTGAACTGGGTTTGAATTTAAGGCCTTGAGCTTGCTAGGCAGGGACTCTACCCCTTAAGTCATGCCCCCAGCCCTAGCAAATGGTTAAGTAAAAAGGATTTTTAGCTGGGCTCTGGTGGCTCACGCCTGTAAGCCTAGCTACTCAGGAGGCAGAGATCAGGAGGATTATGGTTTGAAGCCAACACAGGCAAATTAGTTTGAGAGACCCTATCTCAAAAATATCCATCATAAAAAAGGGCTGGTAGAGTGACTCAAGGTGAAGGCCCTGTACCACCACCACCGAAAACAAAAAAAAAAGGTTTTAAAATTTTCTTTATTTCACTGAGGTAACATCTTTGTCATGGTCCTAATGCTTGGTGGTTAAGAGCCTGAACTTACTGTTAGATCTTGGAGGATTGAGTCCTGATTCTGTCTTTTGCTGTTAGCTCTTGGACCTTAGGCAAGTTCTTTAACATTTCTTAGCTTCAATTTTTTCATCTATAAAGTGTCATCAATACTACCTACCCTGTAGGATTATAATGAGGACTAATACTTAAAAGTGTAGCTGATTTATTATTATATTTTGTAGCTTCTACCCACTAGGTAAAGTTCTGCTCTCTGGTATCCGAAATCTGTTCTTGTTTCTGTGTGGAAACTTTAAAAATATTTAAAGAGGATTATGTTGTCTCTTCCGTTTTCCTTTTAGGCGACCAGTTGCATATATTTGTATGTTGTTTGTGTAATGCAGTGGTTCCTAATTGTGGGCAGATTTGCTGCCCCGGGGACATTTGACAGCATTTGCAGATTTCCAGTTGTCACAACTTTGGAGGGAGTGCTATTGGCATTAAGTGGATAGAGCCCCAAGATGCTGTTAAATATCCACAACACAGGACAGCCTCCACAATAAGGAATTGTTTGGTCCAAAATGCAAAATGTCAGCTTTGCTGATGTGGGAAAACTGTGGCCTACTGGACTTTAATAAAGCTTTTCTTTCCCCCACATCTGTAATGATTAGGAATAGCAGTATCTGGTATTAAGAAAACAGCACAAGAGCCGGATGTGGTGGTGCACTCCTGTAATCCTAGCGGGGGGGGGGGGCTGAGGCCGTAGAATCACAAGTTTGAGGCCAATGTGGGTTACATGGAGAGTTTGAGGCCAGGCTGTGCAACTTAGTGACACTCTGTCTCAAAACAAAACAAAAAAACTACGCAAGGATTCAGAAGTGGATGAGACACAGATCAAGCTCTGTGACTTCAGGCAAATCAGTTAATCTCTTAAGTAAAACTGTCCCCTTCTTATGCAGACAAGTTGTAATTTATGAGGTTTTGAACTCCAAAGAAAGATGATCCTGGAATAGTTGTAATAATTGGTCAGCCATGCCAGGGACAGTGGTGGATATCTGTACTCCTAGCTTCTGGAGGCTGAGTCAGGAGGATCATGAGTTCCAGTCAGCCTGGGCTGCTTAGTGAGACCCTATCTAAAAAAAATAAGACAAAACAATAGATAAACAAAAGTTACACAGTCACATGTATATTTCACACTTGAAGAATATTACCAATTACGTTGTTTCATTATATTCTTCCTATAATTGAAGAGGATTTTTTTTTTTTTCCTTTTATTGAAGGTAGAAAAGCTAAGATATGGTTAGGTAGCTGGTGAAGTTAAACAGCCACAGGACCATTGCTAGAAAGAGCAGTCATGTACCTCCAGCCTGAGGGCTTGTTGTTCTCTAACTGGATAATAGACTTGCCTGTTCCACATCAGAATGATAAAACACCTGTCCCAAGTACTGTGGTCTTTGGATTTTGTGAGGACCTTGATTTGTAGACTTCAGTTGACTTAATTTATATGTAATTCAAGATCTAGTTAGAAAACAGTTCTTTTTTGAAAGAATTGTTTCTGGGAGTTGGAGAAATGATGAACTTGGGAAACAGCACTAGTTTAGGAGTCAGGAGAGAGGATTGCTTCTACCCAAGTAAGTCACATGACTAAGCCTCAAGGCCTTCATCTGTGAAATTAGAGGAGTTATTTGGGCTCATGGGAGTGTTTCACTTGGATTGGGTAGATGAGATTCTGAAAATGGAGAGCTAAGTGAAGTTTTAATCAAAAGAATCCTTTAAAATGTCCTAAGGAAACAGGTTATGTGAGGTTCCTTGAAAAGTAAAACATCTTTTGATTAACTGATGCATTGTTTTGGGGATAAATCTAGCTGTCCATCAATTGGAGATACATGTATATTTTTTTTTCTGGTTATGGCCTGGGACTTGGGATTATTGATAAACAAGTGGATTTGAGGGGGCTGGATGACTTTAATAGTGATAAGTATAGATTAAATATTGTCCTGTTGGTTAGGAACACAACCTCTTGTGCTTCTATTGACTGCTAAAGTGTGCTCGGAAGTGATGATTAAAAACAAATGCCAAGAATCTTAATGGCCCATTTTCACATCTGCTATTGCTTGGAAGCTGTAAAATGCTATTCTAGATAGAACTATCCACCATCTTTTTTCTTTTTTAACTAAACTTCA